TGTACTCATATGCAATTTTACCGATCTGCAGCACCATCCACATACCACCCAACCACCCTTAACCCACCATCTCCTCGTCAGACCACCTTCATCTCCTTGAAATTAAAACTCTCCACAAAGTTCTCAACTCAACCACCCACCACAAATCATCTATTGCAAAACCCAAATCCTGATATCCTCATCAACTACCCAATACAACAAAACAGCCGACCCCTGACATCCTAAACCATCAACTCACCAAAACCACACAAGCCAGCTTCAACCACAAAAGACAATAATCAACTTTTACTTTGTCATGTTTCATTGCAAAAAATTCCCAAATAAGCAAATTAATAGGAATTCTCAAAACCATTATTCAGAAATACAGAACCCACTAGAAGTCAAACATGACGGATCTGATACCTATATTGCCGACGCTGGAGCTTCTGTGTCTTGATCTTCACAGAGATTTATGGGTGATAGTGTTTTGGAAAAGATAGGGTTTCTTTTTGGTGAAAAGCTTTTGGCTTATGTGGAATTCTTTTTTACTATTTAACCTTATTAAAATGACACTGTTTGACTAACAACACCCTATGCTTTTAGTCACCAACTACAGAGGAGTTATACCCCTTTCTCTCTCCTATTGATAATTTTTTTTTAAATATATAAAAATTTGACTTAATTTTTTATTCATTTGAACATCTATTCTTAAATCAATTCACAGTATATTCTTCAACCGTTGCCTTCAAATGTGGACTTTCTGATTTGGTTCTAAATTAGTGGAAGGTATTATGATACAACTCCAAACATGGCTTTATGATTCAATTTCAAACATTGTTTTCTCCAAAGAGATACACCTAATAGGTATAAGTTGCACCGATTATTCACAACACACAATAATTACAAAGAGATACAACAAATAGATACACAAAAGAGAAATACTTAATTATTGCAAAAATTTGGTTTAAGAAAGTGATACACGAAAGAGATACATCAAATAGATATACCAAAATAGAAACACTAAAATGATACCTCTAATTAATGCACAAAATTAAAACAAGAAAGTGATACATCAAAGAGATACATCAAATAGATACACCAATAAGGTGTATCACAAAAAATCAAAAAAATTATAATTTCAAATAAAAATTATCAAATCAAATCTTTACATATTTTAAAAGAAAATAAATTATCAACGGGAGAGAAAGAGAAAAAAAATAGAGTAAATGTGAGAAAAAATAAGGAAGAGAGTGAGAGAATAAAGAGGAATTGTGATATAATTGTTTACAAAAATCAATTATTACAAGAGTTACTCTTATAGAATGAGTTTTTGGTTTTTTTCCATCAAAATGCACTTATATCCAATAAATTTTATTAGTATTTTTTTTTACTCAAATAATTCTATATTTGTGTTCCAACTTCCCTTTTTCTCTTCTAATTTTCACTAGAATTTATACCACGAAGGCATAAATGACGAAGGCACAATGGTATTGTGCTGATGGTTTTGACGGATGGACTCGTCTACTTTTTGAATGGAAGAGTCGTTTAAGGCCACTACTAATGCGTCACGTGCATTGCATGTGAATATTTTTTATATACAAAAATTAATAAAACATATTACATATATATGTATCTGAATTAAATATCATCTTAAATTTATCAAACTTAATTTTTTATTACTCATATTCTATTATAAGGATTATAAAAATTTTGTATGTTCTCAAAATTTTTTGTTCTAAATATAAAAAAAATAGTTAAATTTTTTTTTTTATAAAATTTTGTGATTGATATTATTTTTTTACTAATGTTTAAGAAATTAGTTTTTTGTGAATATACAAATCACATTGGACCCTTACTTTAATTATGAATTAATTAAGTCAAATCTAATAAGATTTACTACTCTATAATATATGTTTTCAAGCATATAAAAATTCTAAAAAATTTAAGTTTTACTTAAAAATATACTATAATATCTATTTTTTATATAAAATCTTAGTACATCTTAGAAAAGTTATTGTGAGTGAAGAATTATATTGATGTAATATAAAATAATTTAAAAAAAAATTATATATATGATTATTTTTTATCTTAGAAAAAAAACTGTTAAACTTTTCAATTTAAAAGAAAATACACATATGCATGTATAATTTTAATTTTGTATATGAAATGAGTAATATTAAATTGATGGAGTTTTTTAAGATTTTTTGAACACTTTATTGAAAATATAATGATGCAATATATTTTTTAAGAGTAATATAGTCAATCAAAAATTTTATACAAACTGATATTTATACAAAGAGAATAGATAATTAAAAGAAATTTTATAGATATTTTAGAGATTTAAATACATAAGAATATGATTGTATTTAAATTACTTAATTATAAAAGAATAGAGCGGTCTTTGCATTTCTTTATAAGAGTAAAATAAATATTCAAAAAATTTTTATCTTAAGGTACTTTTATTAGTAGTATAGATATAGATATTGTCTATCCTCCTCATTATATGATTACTGTTGTCAATTGAGCTAGATAGACGCCACGCTGCGAAGGGGTGATAATTTTTAATACGATATGATAATTCGATAAAAACACAACACGAATAAATGAGTTTGAGTTGATTATTTTTTGACACAAATTCATGTATGATATAACCGGGCTAACACAAAGTGTTAATGGATCGTATTTAGGTTCAACCCGATTAACCCAAAATTGACCCAATTAACTTTTGTATTTAATTGGGTTGACATGAATCCGTGTAACTCATTTTCAACCCGAAAAACCTGACAATATGTAAATGCTTGGATCCCTAACCCTAACCCTAAAAGGGCGTGGCCTCCCATAGCTAGAAGGCAGGGTTCAAATGACAAGAGAGAAAAAAAGTTGTAATACTGCTGCATTCGTAAAACAACCCACCCCTGACACCACCCCACGCTCCCTCTTATTTATCTCTGATCGATATTACTACTGGACTTCTCCATCCTTTTACTCTCCCATTGTCTTCCGATAATTCGACGTCTTCATCCTCTCCTTTCTCTTTTATTTCTCTATTTCCTGTTTGTTCTGCAAATATGTACCTGTTAATTATCTATTTGTGCATCTCTGTCTTTTTTGGGTTAAGAGAATGTTTTGGGTTCAATATTTTCTGGAAAAGAAGTTTGAAAGGACTGACATTACTCAAGAGGATGGAAAGGTGTTTTTTTCCTATTTTTTTTAATTAATAAGGAAACCCATTCTTAAGGTCCATTCTATACTTTACATCTCAAAAAAATTCTTTTTTATTTTTTTATTTTTTTATTTTGCAATCATCGTCTGAGAGAGGTCTAACTTATATTTTTATTATTTTCTCATTAATCTGCTTGTTGGATGAGGTTTGATTAGATGATTTCGACCTGAGACTGCATATCTTTTGCAGCACTAACAACTGCAAATGGTAGAGAAAGGTGGAAAGGGGTTTCACTTTCTAATGGTGGAAAATCTTCTCTCAAATCTCCCGGTAACTCTCACCTATTTCCAAGTAACTTGTTTTTATCTTTAATCTATCATGCATTCAAATGTATCTTTCTGTGTTTTTGGGTATTCTTATGGTTTAGCCAATCATTACTTGCTGGTACCAATTGGACGACATGTACATGGCAGAACTGATTACTGAGCATTTAATAAAATTTGAACTTAGATTATACCTTGCAGTTTGGATGCATGAAACATGCTCTGATGTGTGGATTACTGCTGAGATATATGTAGCCTTTTTATGCTTATTTTCTGTTGTTTCAAATTGATTTTCGTTTTCTATATGATGAACTAATAACTCTAATGTTTAAGACATATTTTATTTCTGAAAATTCCTTTGCGTAGCATCATTCAAAGGGAAGGATGATAGCTCAGCAAAGTCAAAGAGGGGAAGAAAAGTACAGTTTGATGTTGAAGGTTATACCTCTTTTTCTTGATACTATAGAGAATTAGAGATTTATATGGTCATTCTTTACTTGTTCAGACTTCATGTAGAACATGTTTTTCTATTCTCATTACTCATTTACCCTCCCTCCCTTTTAAATTTTGTTGTAAATATTTTGAATTCATCAGAAGCCAAAATTAGCATGTCCTCAAAATCTGGTGGGAAGGTTGATAACCCAGTTGCTGGAGGTTTGATTTTCTTACTCTTTTTTTTGTTTGGATCCTTCATATTATATGGTCATAGACATGGTTGTGTTTGTGTTAATCCTCTGCACAATGCTTAAATTTTCAAGGAGATTGGGGCAAAAGGGGGAAAGGAGATAAGATTGCAAATGGTGGTAAAGTCCCTATGGTAAAGGCACCTCCGCCGTTGGAGCTCAAAATTGAGTATGGTTAGTGCATTTTTTTTGGCTAAACACAGGCACTCCCTCTCCCTCTCCCTCTCCCTCTCTCTTATACAAACACACAGCTTCCCCCCCACCCCCCACCCCCAAAAAAAAGGAAAAAAAGAAGAAGAGAAGTTCAAAGATACCTTATTTGTTTAATACATTGGTTGTGGTTAGTTTGTCTGCGATTTAACAAAAAATATAACCTTTACTAGAGCACAATATCGAAACAAAATTTAGTTACTATACCAAATAGTTTGGAAAAGTCTCAATGGTTTATTTATCCATAGTTGGATAATTGCCACTACGCGATATTATAATTTTCTTGGTTTTTCTATATTTTTCAATTTTTATTAAAATTGTATTTGTCTCCTTGCTATTTTATATAGTTTAATGGAATTAATTTTGTTTTCCAATCGTAATTTTTCGAATATTAGTCACGGCTTATGTTGTTCCTTTGCAATTCTTTTTGATATTGGGATATACTTCTGTAAAATTGAAAAACAAGCTGAACATAATTGAGCAATCTCTGACTATGTATACATTGTGAGTGTCTGTATAATAAAACATTGGGTCTTTCTAGCCTTCTAATCTATTGATTTTTACTCTTTTAGTAGTAGTAGCATTTTTGAAAGGGGAATTGCTAGTACAGTTATTTAAGTTATGCGCATGTGTGTGCTTTTAATGGGAACTATTGAAATATGGGCAGAACTTTTGGAGAACGCTAAATGCTTGATGGACTGTGAAGCTGTAGAAATTTTACAAGGAATCCAAGTGCAAATGGTCATACTTTCTGAAGATCCAGCAATTAAAATCCCCATGTGAGTAATACATTTTATGCTTCGTATTCTTGTTTAGGGATGCCTTTTTTACTTAAAAAAGCATTTCATGTACTTCTTTGTTAGTTAAATGAGAAGTTAATATGGTTTTAAGAGCTTTAACAATCTGTTCATTTTCAGTTCATTTGACAGGGGACTACAGTATGCCAAGAGGGGTAGCCATTATACAAGTCCACACTCTGTTAGACGAGTGCTTGAGTATCCTTTTCTTTCATAACGATGATAATTACTAGTTTTATTACTACTATTTTTTTTTTGTGGGTAAGACAGCAGTGTCCAGAGATTGACGTTGCTCGAGTTATGGTTAATTTGTTTTTGACTAAGATCATGTCTAATATTTTTTCTTATCAGTTTAATAATTGATACATGGCTCAATGGGCTACACGATATTAAATTATTTTTTTGAGGGGAGGGCCCACTACAGTAGCTTGCTATTGGGGCACCCCAAGCCAAAAAATTAACAAAAAAAAATTATTTTTGAGCACTCTATTGTTGATCCATTAACTTAGAAATAGTGCTCTCAAACAGCACAATGTTTCTGATGGCGAGGTATTAATCTTAAATTGGAATACTTGATTTTCAATAGTCATGTGGTGTGCTTTATTTCATCTTTATGACTGCAGGTGTCCATGATTGCCAATGTAGGTCCAGAATCTGTGGAAGAAGTTTTTGCTCTTGTCCCGTCCTTGAAGGTGCGGCATAAATAGCTCTGTAGCTTTTGGATTAATATATTTTTGATGGCCCACTAGTATTGGAGTTGGAAAATGGTTGCCTTTTTCTGGTTCTGCTAGTTTCTTTTTGGAATTTTGGCTATTATCTTTTTATACTCTAGAGGATTATATATCGGGACTTATATAACTGTATAAATGCTTCCTACACTAGTTCCTTCATGTGCTTGTAACAACTTATCCATATTTGATGTACCATCAAGAAAGAGGTTAAGTTGTTTCTCACTATCCACAAGATTAGAGATAGAGATCTACATCTTTCTACCAATAGAGAGATATAGCCCTTACCCTTTCTTCCATTCTTTCTAGGAGACCAAAGTCTGGCTTCTTTAGTAACTCAATGTGTAAATGCAGTATACTAGTGATCTGCAGAAAAAGGGTCATATTTGGGTTTAGAGGCTCTCTTTGACTTTTCCTTTTCTCTTTCCTACTCTTTTCCATCTGGGACTCAATAAAGACGCTTTCATCATATATGAAAGAAGACCATTGTATTTTGGCCTATATTTGTTGCTTTGTTATCTATTTCACTGTCAGATTGACAAATGGTAGGGCCAGGTATCTCCAATTAAGTTGAGATGGTATATTAAGGTAGTTAGACTTTGATGCTTTGTCACGAATTTCTGAAGTTGTTTGCATGAATGCAGGAGGAAAGAGTGAGAGAAGCAAACACTATAGAAATTATTTGGTTCTTAATCTCATTGAAACATGGACTTGCAAATTTTTTTAAATATTTTCTGGTCAAAGAGTTGATGTATTAGTCCTCTTATAAAGGTGTCTCGCTCCCTTTTTTCTCACAAGCTGTTATGGTGTGATTTGATTGCATGTTTGCTTGTGTGTTTTCATTGCAAAGTTGCTATCTAGAAGTTGCCAATATGCAGTTTTATGGTTGATGATTAATAATCCGATTTAGCCTTCGCTCTTTCATTGTTGGGTCAATTTTAAAGGAGGAATCTTTGGAATGGATGATTGTGTGATTAAATGCTAAGATATCTTATATTTGAAACAATGATTTTGAGATAAAGGATTTGGTATTTGTTTTACTCTTTAATCTTCGCAAGCTGCTGTTTACAATTTCATTGTTTCTAGGGCAAGAAAAGCAAACTAATAGAACCCCTTAAAGATGCATTGGATCAACTTGCTAAGCTAAAACACTCAACATGAAGCCTCATTGTTGAGATCCCTGTTAAGAATCTTTATTGCCTGAGCTTGGTTAGCCTTGTGTTGCATTTACTCTTTGTCATATGGAGGCTGAAAGAGTAAAAAGATGATTTGGTTGTTAAGGCTGGAATATCCGCTTTTCAGCTTCTGTTGCCAATTTAAATTTATTGCCTTTTGGTGTATTATGATATTGATGGACTATTCTGATAAAGGAGTGTGCAGGATTGGTTTCTTTGGGCTTGGTGGATATGAGTATGGCATCAGTTTTGTGAAGTAACTCACGCAGACTGTTGAAGCATCGTTTCTAATGCCTATAGTCACGTATGATTTTGTACTGGTGTATAGCTTGAAAATAAAAAATTAGTAATTATTAGCTATGGGATTTTGTTGGATTATGTCAAGTAGCCTTATGGTAGAACAAATGTTGTATTATCATTGAATCTAAGTGAATTGTGATGAACAAGCTTGCTTTCCTCCCACCAATACAAAGCACAAGAATATCTGATTTAATTGGTCTGCAATGTGTGTATGTGTTTTTGTGTGTCGAGTTTTTTATGTTGTGAGGTCCAGGTGAAAGAAATGGTGCTTTGTGGAGCTGGAGGAACCAGTGATGCAAAACAGGTCATGGTGGGCTGTTAGTGACCAAGGCTGTATATATGATTAAAATGAATTTATTTGAGTTATCTGCACTTTCTAAACAAAATTTACCAATAATACTGCAACATTTCCTAACTTTCAGCTTTTCCCAAAGAGGTACGTACTTCTGCTAGCCATATATGGCTAGACTTTCTGCCCTAGCACCTGCTGTATTGTGTGATGGCGTTCAAGACCCAACAAGCATGGCTTTCTTACTGGTTAAGAAGGCCTTGTTTAGCCTTTGGTATATCAATTATCAGTTTTCTTTTAGTATGTCTTAAACTTGCAGATTTGGATGCAGCGGCCAAATGAGCTCCTTTGTGTGATGCCAATTTCCGTTGTGAGAGGAGAATCATACTCAGGTGAAGCGGTAACTATCGGTGGATGCTCTTGTACGATGGTCTTTTAGTCAATAGACTAGGATAAGTGAATGGTCTAGTCCCCACGGAGAACATACAGATCAAGCATTAACAAGCCAACAAAGGCCACTTAATGTCCAAAGTTAGTGTGTACTCGAGACAAGAGTAAAAAAAGCATCAATTCAGTCCCACAGGATTTGCGTGGAAGTGACCTGCCACCCCACCAGTTGACAAACAAAAATAGGTTGTTTCGCCTATCTATTCTTCTAGATCAAAGGAACACCGTAATTATATATGGGTATAACAATAAATTCATTCATCTGTCGAGGGGTGAGAGGGTTTGCACTAGGAAAAGGGGGAAGAGAGTTAACTGTTTTCTACTTTTCTAGTAGAATTTCATCATTTCATTCTCTGAATGAGCTTGCACGAAGCAGCTGGGTTTCATTTCATGCAGAAGAAGGTGAATGAAGGATTATTGTAGGTGGTTGTTTGTTTGGTGGGAAAGAATGGTTGGTAATTGTTCACTATAGCAGCAATCAATGGCTGACATGTATGTATGTATATATAATTTGTATATCAAGTATGAACAGATTTGGTACCTCAAGAGTCCGGAGAGGATTTGAATTTCCTGAACGTACATAAGATGATTGCATTAATTGTCTGAAAAAATATGATTATGGGCGGTCTGCCTGCCTGCCTGCCTGCTTGACTCCCTTCATGCCAAGTAGAAAAGTTATCAAACACTCTTGACAATTGCTTTTTAGATGGCATGGCATATTGCTTGACATTCAGGGAGCTAGGCAGTGGTAGGCGGATCCATTTCATGCCAATCCCATCCCAGCTTCATTGACTGCAAAACCACTTCACAAACCAGATGGGCATCTCCAGAAACCACTCCAAGGACAATAGGATTTTTTGGAGTAAGGCATTTATGCATGTGGGCGGGGTTTGTTTCTCCCCTTGGCTCCTCACGTTCTTATATATGTGTGTGTGTGTGTGTGTCTATATATATATATATATATATATATATATATATATATATATAACAAAGTGCAGAATTTATGTGAGTTTAAGGAAAATCACAAGATTTAGAATAATTTACAGACAAAATTACAAAATTACAATATAAGATAAAACTAAGATACTTACAATACTAGCACTAAGTGGGCTAGTAGTGAAAGGGGATAGGAGAGAAACTCTTCATTTGCATTCTTATGAGAGATCTCAAAATACAAGTTTATAGTGGAGGTAGGAGTGTTTTGCTGGGCGTGTAATGAGTTTTGCCTAAGCAAAAGACTTGCTTTAAGAGTGAAGACTGAAGTCCTTATATAGGTGTAAGGAATTTTGAAGGAATCTTTGGAATGATTACTCTGTTGTCTTCAGTGGGTGTTTTAACTTGGGTAAAGTGGTTTCACCTTAGCCTTTCAGTGGGAAAGTAGAGGTGAATTACTTTTTTCCATGTGAATACTGACTTAAATGGCAAGTGGTTCCTGTTTTTGTCAGAAAGAATCTACTTTCGGTGGAAAACAGATTTTGACAGTTGGCTGATGGCATCTTTACTAGGGGAAAGATCCGGAATGCCAAATAATATCTCATTGATATATGTAACAGACCGTTTTTCTTTATTTATTGAAGAAAGTAGTGATTGAAGCTATCACACATATAGACAAGTATCATTATGGGGTAGATATATCTACCAGATCATCATATCCTACATATGAATCCTGACTGTCTTGGAAGGGATCCAATGTAGGGGTGACTGACGCCTGTGATGACACAGAAGAACTGCTTTCACTGGCTGCTTGTTGAAGAAGTTGTTGTGCTAGCTCAATGAGGGCAGTTGTCTTCTTCTTGGATTGTTTGCTGAAATCCTTAGAGAAGGATTTCTCTTGATTGGGTTCTTTCTTAGTGGATTTCTTAGGCTCTTCTGGAGTGAAAATCCTGAGAGGAGGCATGACTTGTCTGACTGGAGTTGCTGGGGTTGCCTGAACCACTGCTGGGGTTGGGACCCTTACTGGAAAACTCCTGTTTGACACGGTTAATTATTGGTTCTTACTGGAACCTGGGCCACCATTTGACATAAAACTGTCTGGCGACATTATACCCAATAATTTTTCATTTTCATTTGCATATCCATGGGACTTTGTACCTGTAAATAAATGTTAGTAAAATAGGAAACTGACTCTCATGTTTATTAGGTCGATAAACAGAGGAGAAGGCTATAATCTGATTTTGAAGATCAGCTGGAAAGATTTCATGAATGGGGTCATGAACAAACTACCACTGTGCGAACCAGGATGGAATCTGGCTCTTAAAATCTTTATGAAACTGTAAGAACCAAGAATGATTGAAAGAATCATTTTGGTATAGTATAAGTTTAAACCGTGATTCTTTATAATCATAGTAATTAAACTTTTATCTTATGATAAGGTAAATTTCGGAGAGAAGAAGGATGAGATCTCCAATCTTTGAGAGAAATAATTTTTAGAATATGTAGTGAATGATAAATAATTCTACTCTGGTCATTTTTATCAAATATAGGCTTGACAAAAATGGACTGAGTATAAAATAGAATATCCTGATAGAACTGGAAAGTCTTTTCAGGATCAGATGGAATAAAGGTCCATCCTGGCTCAAGGTAGGCTGTGACTAAGTCCATTGGGTTGCTTAAGTGAGCATGGACTGGTTCAATAGCAAATACATTTTGGGTATAAGCTTTGATGTAGTCAATTGTTGGGCCTTTTGGGACAAACTAGGGTTTGTGCTTGGAATATGGATTTACTAATTGGCTAGTGGTGCCTGGTTGGACTGGTACAACAGGTCTTGGGGCCTGTTGGGCTAACTGGAGAAAATTGCTAGGTGGCACTATAATGGATTTGGCTACTGGCCTTGTTGGGTTAGGATTACCGAGGGGTTGGAACCTATTGGTAATCTGAATAGCAGAGGATAAAGGTTTGGGCTTGGCAAGACTGGTGGGCTTGGCAAAGCTAACTGTTTATCCAGGTTTGCCTTTTCTTGGACAAATATCTAACTAAGTTTTTTCTTTCCAATATCCCTCCCGGCTTTGAAAGAGGTACCAGGGTTATTATTTCCCGTCCGCCATGAGGTTCCTGCAGAAATTCACAGGTTAGGAAATCAGGAATGCAGTTATTACTGCCTTTGATATATTCGATATCAAAATCAAAAATACTTGAAATAGATTGCCATCTGGCAAAAATTTGCTTACTAACAATGTTTTGTATATCATTTTTCAAAACATATTTTGCAGATTTACAATCAACTCGGATTAAAAATTTTTGATTTAATATATCATCCTGGAATTTAGAGATACACAAGACAATAGATAATTTTTTTTTAATAGTACTATAATTTGCTTGTGCTTTATTCCAAATGCCAGAGTGGAAACGAACGATTTGCTCTAGGGAGTCTGGAGTAAGTTTTTGAAGCAGAATACCACTATAGCCAATGTAGGAGGCATCAATTTGGATGATTTTAAAGGAATCAACCGAACGAATACCAAGACAAAGCAAGGTTTTAATAAACTACTTGACTTGTTTGACAATGGATGTATGAACAGAAGTCCAACGAGAAGGATTTCCTTTGAGTCTGTCATACAGAGGTTTAATGGTTTTCCTAAGATCCTGGTAAAAATTAAAAACATAATTTAGGGAACCTAAGAACCTTTGTAATTAGGTTTTGTCAGTGATCTCATCAGGGAACTTATCTGCAAATTGGATAGAATGACTGATGGGAACAATAGTGGACTGTTGGATGTTGTACCCTAAGAACCTTACTGAGGTCTGGAACAACTTAATTTTACTAGCTGAGATGACTAGACCATTGTGTCTGACTATCTCAAGGAATGCATAGAGGTGTTTTTTTTAATGTTCTTCTATAGATGTAGAGAAGATGAGAATGTCATCTATACAGACTATAGAAAAATAACTAATGGAATTAAAAATTTCATTCATTATATTTTGAAATTCAATAGGTGCAATTGTAATCCAAAAAGCATTACATTCCATTCGTAATGGCCAAAAGCAGTGGTAAATGCAGTCTTATATTTATCTTCTAGAGATATAAGGATTTTTCAATAACCACTTTTTAAATCAAATTTTGAAAAAATTATTGAATTATTAAGTCTTTAATTAAATCTTGTTTGATTGGAATTGGGTACCTGATCCATTCCAATACAGAATTTAAGGGTTTATAATTAATTACTAATCTTGGTATACCTCTTCTAATTCCGCATTTTTGATGACATAGAAAGCTGGACATGACCAACGAGATTTGCTCTTTCTAATGATACCATTTTTGAGTAATTCAAAAATATCTTTTTTGCAGATTTTCATTACTTCATGGTTCATTTGGATGGGTCTGGGTTTAGTAGGAATATTTGTCTCACTAAATCCTTTTATATATGGAAGTTTTACCATATGTTTCTTCCTATGCTAGAAAGCTGTAGGAAGGTTAGAACATACTTCTGCTTCCATTTTTAATCTGAATTGTTCAAATAAAATTAGGTTTGTTAATTGTTCTTGGATTCTTTTATGGTGAATTTCATTTTTGAGAAATTTTATCTGTTGAGTTTTTTCATTAATTAAATTAAGATACTTAGAGACTGAGTGGTTTTTAAGTTGTCTTAAAAGTCTTGGTTTCTGGTTTACTAATAAACTGGAAAGTTACTGAGTGACCAAATGGCTTAGTGGTTACTCCTTTACTGTCAGTCGTAAAAGGATATAGAAGATATACGAATGGCAATCCAAGGATAACTTCACTAGTCATATTTTGTACTAGGACAAAGGATGTTTTAAAACATACATTGTCTTGACAAATATGTACATTTGACAACTTGTATTTAACTTTCATTTTACTACCATTTGCTGAACTATGTTTCTCAATTGTTTTTTGATAATACTTAGTTGGTATAACTCATTCTTAAATACAGTTTAA